AAGTCTCATCCTTCCCTTGGTGAGATGCTAATAAAGGTTAGACAGCCAGTTTTAAGAATATAAAGTGAAGAATCTGTTACTCAGCTGTCAATGGAAACTGCCTGTCCATAATTCCCTGAACAACAGCTTTATATCTCAGCTCATGTTAATTAGTCTTCATGCTTAAGCCTAAAGATTTATGAGGCTGAATTTTTTTGTCTCTTCTTTTGTTTTGTTTTATTTTGTTTTGAAAAGAGATATACAAATATATGGAGTTGAACTTTACATATTTTGTAGCTTTTTCTGATTTGCATAATAACCAAAATGTCAAATTTTTATAATTGCTAATAACACAGTTTGTCATTCTCTCTAAATTAACTATTTTGCCATATCTAAAAGTTATTGGCATGTAGCCAGGAAGAACTGGAAAAGAGCACAAAAAATAGAAAATAATAGAATTTGTGAGTTGAGGTAGATCAACTCAGATGTTTTCAACTGCAGACATTCTGTGAATATTTAAATAGAATCAAACCCAAGGCTTTCTCAAATTCAAAAGGATATTCTAAGTGATTCTGATTATGAATTGCAATTATATTCATAAATTCATTATGAAGATGAACTGATTAAAAATTTTTAAAAACATGAGAAACAAGAGATATTAAAAATCTCATAAGCAAACAATTTTGGAAAGTAAAACAAAATACTACCAACTTAAAATAGTGCTTTCGTATTTCCAGAACACTTACATGCCATGGTTTGATCATTACTACATGAAGATGAGAAAATCACGGCCAGAAAACATGTGGAAATAAGGCTTGTATGTATGTAAACTAACAACTCAAAAAATAATTTGTAGTTGAAGAAAACAATCACTCTATTACTTAAGAAAAAATTAAAATGTACAAATTGATAGCCAGGATTAAGTCTTAGTTATTTGACAGTCATAGTTACCTGTCCCCCCAACTCCATTTTCCACCCTCCTACCCTCCACTTGAGAATCAGTAGTATCCTCATTTTTTAATTGTAATTAAAATACAAGCATTTTTTTGCTTAATTTCATCAGTAATCCATTTATGAAAAAAAGTCATCCTATCTAAATGTCAATTGGAAGCCAATTTATGATTATTTTGACTGAGAAAGTTGTATTTAAACCCAAATCTCCAGTTTCCTAAAATGTAACTGCAACATATTTACACAGGCAACAGTCAGTATGGAAAATGTAAACTGATGAATCATTTTCAGCTTTCAGATGGCACCTTTACAGCATTTTATATTTATAAAAGGGAGCACTGGGTTAAAATTTTAGATAATCTATCCTTGCCCATTGAGAAAAGGCTTCAAAAACTTAGGTATGGCCTTGCCAGTATTAGATGACAATGAGCAACCATCATCAGGAAACACTGGCTTAATAAAACACATTCATGTCATTTGCTTTAAAACTTTTATATTTTCCAATTCAGAGAAATAAAAACAGGTAACAATCACCAGCCTGGATTTCTGTCTCAGCTCTTCTCATTTATACAGTGCTGGAATCACCTGGTGGCCTGGACCAACCTTGTTATGTCTGTACTAGAAAAGAAAGAGCTGAGCCTCAACTCAGTCCCGCAAGCCCCACACCCCGTTACACCTGAGTTGGTCGTCTCCGGTCATCTCTGTAGTTGCCGTTCTTTGAGCACCATGGTCCAATATTCTTGGCCATTGTTTTGACACCACACAGTGTTCTTCCAAGTTGGATGAATGAACAGAGAAGATTAAAATCAGAGGCTGAGCCTAGAGTCTTATTCCTCTCAGGATGAGAGTCATCTCACCACTCTGTCCAGAACACAGCTTGGGTTGATAGAAGAACTCTAATGGAAAGCCAAAATACCCCCGTGTGGTATAAAGGAAGGCATTCTCATATCTAAAGGATGTTACCGTCACCATGCTAACGGCCTACTACCAGATCATCTCAATTCTTCAATGATATATGACAGCTCAATCTACATCCTGTGATACAGCTTAAATATCATCCTGTGATCCTGCCATTAGGTAATTTACCAATATTAGATTTTTGGTCATTTGGGGTCTGGCCCAACTAGCACCTTAGCCTTACTGCCCCAGCATTGAGGATGGTACAAGGCATAATGGAAATGTGAAGGCAGAGTGTTTGGTCACCACATGGAATCCTATCACATTGTTGGTGACAGGGGCATTCATTCCCAGAGAAGCTAACAACTATGCAAGCACAAATGTTTCCCCCCAAAGCCAAAGGTGCTACCTGTTGAGAAATCCAAATTCCAACAACAGTCTTTTCACAAACAGCATGGACAAGGATCCTACAGCTGTCAGCTCTACCATTTCACTCAGGACCCTTCAGCTCCTGGGGACTTAACATCCTCATTAGGAAATAAGGCTAACAATTTGTTTAATTTTTCTATCATATTTTAAATTATATTTTTATTATTACATTTACAATATATTTATCTCCAGTCCTAATTATCTTCACTTATGGAAAAAAAAGTTGTTACCAAAACTTTTTAAGGGATTATCTAAATATTGCAATGAGTTCCTCAATCTCTTAAATATTAAAGAAGCATACTCAAAAATTCCCTTCCTAGTGAAGGCCTTGCCAACTATCCAGTAGAGAGAGTATCAGGAGTTAGTTAGATGACGTAGGACAGTTTCTCCTCCAATTTCCAGTAAGCTACAATGTATGGAAACATCATGGGTGGAATAATTATGAAGACTGAAATAGATGATTGAGTCTTGAATTAAAGAAATATTGAATGACCTAGAAAAATGAACATAAAATAACAAAGTGTACAGCTCTAAGAGACATTCCTCGTAACAATGAACCAGCAGAGAACAAGTAAGACAAAGAGACAAAAGAGAAAGAGGGTCCAAGACTTTACAGCTACCTGGAAGGAGGCTGTAGAGGGTCAATTAAGGACTGCAAGAGAGCCCCAAAGCCAACACCGCACATAAATACATGCTGACTCCACAGTCCACCTTATGATTTTAGCCAACTTAGTTTTCTAAATTTCTTCTTTCATTTCACTCTCTTCACTAGAGACCCAGACCGGGTTGGGAGCAGGGCAGATCTGAAAGTGGAGACAACCTTATTTTTGAAAGAGAAGCTTAAAGACTGTTGAAGTTGAAGATAATGGCTTGTAAGAATTGTGTGTAATGTTGCATTAACTTGTAATGATCATCATTATTAAAGCTACAGCCAAACACTCACCATGAGCTCTGTAGGACACATTTAACTATATAAAAGACATCATCTGTGCCCTCTAGGAACATGCCCTGAAAGTTCAAAAACAGTGAGTTCACATGAGCAAACTGAACTGCACTATACCTACCCTGAACAGTACAGTTTAGAAATCAGAAGACTCAGCTAAACCTTACATTACAAACTAACCTTTAACAACTGTGAATTTATTTTTAGTGCTAAAAACAAGCAAAGAAATATGAGTTTATGATGAGGTATTAACTTAGAAGTTTGGTTTCACTCTATCCCACTTCACTGCATCCTGAAATAAAAGACCAGCCTCCCTTGTTCCCACATTCTGAACACGAATAATCATATTGGTGCCACCAATTTTGACAAGCCAGCGGCATTAAGAGCCAGGGAGATAAGTCACATCTGGCCAGATCTTCAACCTGTTTTTGACTATGCTTATCCCTGCCTCCCCCGCTGTTGCCTCTGTTCCCAAAAATATGATTAATATCTATGCATTTGCAAAACTCTGCCTTGTAAGCAAGGCTGAGGCTTTCCATCCCAACGAGGTGGAGGTATGGAGTTAATGAGAAGTGAGACTGTGGGGAATGAATAGGAACATGCCAATGTTAAGGTAATTGAGCATGAATATCAAACACTGACTTGGGAACAGTCTTCATTTGCTGAAGGAAAGTCTGATCAGCTGGTGGGCAGATGGAACAGGCACTGATCTGCATTCACTGCCAACCCCAGAATTTGTGCCTCACAACAGCCTATTACCAGGGAACCTTTGTTTTCCCATCTATAATCAAGGTATTTTTCTCTCCTTTTCCTTATTTTCTTACTTCTCCTTACACTTACATTCGTCTTTCCCTCTCTCCTTCCTTTCTAAAAATGGACTCTTATGTCTTTTTTAAAAATTTGTCTCATATCTCCCCAAGCCTTATAAAGAATTTAAATATTATAATCTCAATGCCTGCTATTCCTTTTTTAAAAATGTGTAATTTGCCAGCCTCAGTTCAGAATAACACTGATGATGGTATTTCAGATAGAAGAATCAGTAGTGCTGTAATTTTTCCTTTAAAAACACTGCATTGCCTTCAAAACCCGGTGAAACCTTGAATTATTAATTACTTTAATGCACTTCTATGAGATTCTATCATCCCCAATTATATCACATAAATATTCTTATATGACAAGGATCACTGGAAGATTTGCACAATAGTGACAAAATGAACACCTTAATGATCATAGGCTATTAATAAATTGTATTGAATAGTTTTATTCAGAAAAGAGTAACAAGTATCAAGAAAACTAAACATTGTAGGGAAAACTTTCATTCTAAGTTTCTAGGAACACATATAATTATATATGAAAATGTTTTAGTAGTTTATAATGCAAAAAATAGACACAAATGTGTATCAACTGATAATCAGTTAAGAAAAAATAGATTACATATGTTAAATAAAACTAAAAGGATTATTTGTGAAAAATAAATAATAATTTTGAAGACTATAGACATCAATAGAATTCTATTATATGAGTTTATGTGAACTATAAGCTCATGTAAAATATATGCCTTTATATGATTGATCAAATGCCTATCTGATGGTGATAGAATTTCTCCATGATTGAGTTTTCATGTGTCAATTTAAAAAATTTCGATTCTAGATGTATATTACAATTTCTATAATAAAACAGTATGAAAGTAGCTAAACAATGAATTTCTCAATCCTTGCCTACAGACCAACGAGATCAGAATGAACACAGTAAAAGCAATTATATGGGAAAGATCTTGGCTATGAACGTGTTCGTGGTTTACCTTAACACTGTAGAACTCTCGGACTTCAGGCCTGATGGAATCAAAGTCTCCATTGATGAATTCAGGCAAAAACCTGAAAGAAAACAGTTTGTTGCATGTAAGAAACCAGACCAGTACATTTACTTATTAAACTTTAAAATTATGACTATAAGGACTAGAGAGAATACTAAGTTATTCCAAATGGAAAACAAGCAAGACTATTTTCACAGTGAATAGGATGTCAGATCATACACTCTAGGTTTCAATACTATATGACTGAGGCAAACTCTGCAGATGCAACCCATTCTTCAACTCAGACACATTGTCAGCCAATATTTATCTTCTTCAATAGATAAATACCAAAGAAGGTAATAAGTTTTAAAAAGCTCCCAATTCAAAAACCTTAGCACAAATATTTGTCCTATACCCCTATTTCCTTCGGCATACACACAAACCCTTACATTATTTTACTCTCATACAAGTTTGAAGAGAACAAATCATCAGGAGGATTCAGCAATCTATGCCAAGCCAAAGTCAGCTCGAATATGTTTTCCAAATATCCAACTGACATATTTCTAGAAATGGGTCTTCTGCATAGGTTGAAAGAGTCTGAGGTTCTAAACATAGGAGGGACTCCCAAATGCAGCTGTTTTAATGATACTATGATTAGCTTAGTTTCTTCCCTGTTGTTTATTTTTTTCCCAAAACTCATTTTAAAAGCCTGCTCTATTGCATCTACATAAACCATCACTTATTATTTTTATATAAAATATTTACATGATTTGTAGAATTTCTTCCCACTTAAAACACCTAAATGTGCAGAAAGAAAATATCCATGATGACTTACTGCTCCTGCAAAACCCTTAGCTTCCTGAAGCCAAGAAAATCATATAATCAAGGGAATGTTTATTTTCCTATCCTACAAAAATACTCTTCCCTTCATATAACATGAAACTTCGATGAGCAACCATTCTTCTACCTAACTGCTCTACTTTGAAAGGAGAATAACACTTCTGTTATGTCTGCTCAACAGGTCTGAACTGTCCAGGGCTGGACGAGGTCCCTAGTTAAAGGAAGATATCTCCCTAGATATTGCACGTGGAAAGATATGAAGGCCCAGAACCAGAAGACAACTCTAGGTAATAAAAGCCAAGACACAAGGGGCTATTTGGCTCCTGGGGAAATTCTACCAATATCCCCAAGGGCTCAGATAAGGATTCAGGCCCATAAAATTTTCAAGGAAAAATATCCACAGCTGCCACCATCCACTTAACAAACAGAAGAAAAAGAAAAAATCCCTCATGCTTCACCTCTGTATCTGCAATTACCAGTTGAGGACAACTGACCTGGCTGCCAGTACATGGAACCAAGGGTGGAAAACCAGGGCAAAGGAGGCGGATAGAATAGGAAATATGGCTCAGAACACCTTGTACATGTGCTCAGGATAAAATTCGTAAAGATGAATGTTAAAAAAATAATACATTTACCTTGTCCTTGAATACAATTTTTTATGGTTCTTAATCCAATTGGAAATGCTCTCTCTTAGGTCCAGTCTAATCTGAGTGATGTGTGTTGGGCAGATCTTCAAGCTACACAGCTTCCTAGCACTCAGTGGCAAGAGCAAGATCTGTGCCACAAAGAACTGCTACAAAAGATCTTTCCAGAAGAGATCTTACTGGGAGGTCTCTTTGAAAAGATCTCTTTGATATAGATCTTTTCTGGAAAGATCTTTGGACCTAGTCCATCAGGTAACAATTTAGTCCTTTTTCTCTATGGGTTTTCTTTTTTTTTTTCAAATTTGTTATATATGACAGCAGAATGCATTACAATTCATATTACACATATACAGCACAATTTTTCATATCTCTGTACACAAAGTAGAGTCACACCATTCATGTTTTCATAGATGTACTTAGGGTAATGATGTCCATTTCATTCCACTGTCTTTCTTAGCCCCTGCTCACTCCTATCCCCTTTGCCCTATTTCGAGTTCATCTAATCCTTCCATGTCCCCCTCCCCCAACCACATTATGAATCAGCATCCTTAAATCAGAGAAAACCCTCAGCACTGGGTTTTTTGGGATTGGCTAACTTCACTCAGCATTATATCATCTAACTCCATTCATTTACCTGAAAATGCCATGATTTTATTATCTTTTATTGCTGAATGATATTCCATTGTGTATATATATACCACATTTTCTTTATCCTTTCATCTATTGAAGGGCATGTAGATTGGTTCCACAGTTTAGCTATTGTGAATTGTGCTGCTATAAACATTGATGTGGCTGTGCCCCTGTAGTATGCTGTTTTTAAGTCCTTTGGATATAGACCTAGGAGTGGGATAGTTGCACAATCTCTTCAATGAGATCAGAAAATTTCCCAAACATAAAGAATGAATTGGAAAATCAAATGTACAAAATTACAACAGATCTACACCAAGGTACATTATAACAAAAATGCCTAGCATACAGAATAAGGACAGAATCTTAAAGGTCACAAGAGAAAGGAATCAGATCATATATGGGGGAGACCAATGTGTATCTCGGCAGATTTTTCAATCCAGACCCTCAAAGCCAGGAGATTCTGAAAGACAATGGATGCCAACCAAGAATCTTATATCCAGAAAAATTAGGCTTTAGCTTTGATGATAAAATAAAAACCTTCCATGATAAACTAAAGTTAAAAGAATTTATAGGTATAAAGCCTGCACTACAGAACATCCTTAGCAAAATATTCCATGAAGAGGAATTGAAAAACAACAATGAAAATCAGCAGAGGGAGGTACTACACTAAAGGAAAATCTAATCAAAGGAGAAACCAAGTCAAGTTAAATACCAAAAATAAACAAAAATGGCTGGGAATAAAAATCATCTCTCAATAATAACCCCGAATGTTAATGGCCTAAACTCACCAACCAAAAGACATAGACTGACAGATTGGATTACAAAAAAAAAAAAAAATTCAACAATATGCTGCATTCAAGAGACTCATCTCATAGGAAAACATCCACAGACTGACAGTGAAAGGTTGGGAAAAATCATACCACTCACATGGACTGCAGAAGCAAGCAGGTGTTTCCACCCTCATATCAAAGAAAGTAGACTTCAAGCCAAAGTTAATCAAAAGGGATAAAGGATATTTCATACTGCTTAAGGGAATCATTTGTCAACAAGACATAACAATAATAAATATATTTACCCCAAACAATGGAGCATCTACATTCATCGCACAAACTCTTCTCAAGAGTGAAACTACAGCACAATAATTCTGGGTGACTTTAACACACCTCTTTAACCATTGGATAGATCCTCCAAAAACAAGCTGACTAAAGGAACTACAGAACTCAATAATACAATCAATAACTTGGACTTAACTGACATATAATAGAACATTTCATCTTTCAACAAATGAATACACTTTCTTCTCAGCAGCACATGGATCCTTTTCTAAAATAGACCATATGTTATGCCACAAAGCAACTCTTAGCAAATATTAAAAAAAGTAGACATACTACCCTGTATTTTATCAGATCATAATGGAATGAAATTAGAAATCAATGATAAAATAAAAACTAATCCAACCCCTGGAGACTAAATAATATGCTACTGAATGGACAATGGATTGCCAAAGACAACAATTTAGAACTTTTGAAGAGCCATAAAACAGAGCAACAATTAGATGAATGGCTACTGATCTAATTCTCATGTAATATAAAGGGAAGAATATTTTTGTAGGAAGTGAACTTAAATATTCCCTTTGTTATATTATACACCATTCTTGGCCTCAGGAGGCTAAGGTGGTTTTGCTGCAGCAATAAGTCATCAGGGGCATTTCACTTCTCCACATTTAGGTGTGTTAAGTGGTAAAAAATACTACCAGGTCATGTAAAGATTTTATGTAAAAATAATAAATGATGATATTTGTTGGTATAGCAGAGTAGGCTTTCTAAAATGAGTTGCATAAAAAATACACAGCCTGGAAGAGAGGTAAGGCAACTTTCTACTACAAGAAAGATCTTAGTTTGAATTAGCTAGACCAAATAATTTTTTTCATTAACCAATTCATTACACAAATATTTGCAGTACAACTATGTGCCAGAGACTTAGTTTATTTCAGAATAAGGCAGAATTGTAAAGGAAATGGAAGTACATAGGCTTATAAATTGCATTGTCTGATTTCAACATCTTCCTATAAAAGTTCTTCCCCAAAACATCCCTGCACATTATATCTACAGTTTTCAATTTTATTTTATACCTATTTATTCTGAACCTTATATTTTGCCCCTATTGGAAACAAAAATCGTTTATTATATCATTTTTCTTTATATTTTTTTCTGTACAATGAATTCACTCAGTTTTGAATTTTCTTTAAAATGCTTCCATATCACCACCAATTAACCTCAGGAAATACTTACAGGGACCACAGAATATTAGTTTTGGATGAAGGATGAAGTAAATAATTCCTGCAATATCCCTATTACCCTCTGTAAGGAACTAAGATCAAAGACATCAAGTGAATTTGTGGGCAGAGCCTAGTCTACTTCACCAGGCAAAATGGCTACTAAAGAACTTTTGGTTTTGGACTGTCTGGTTCAAGTAACTTCCTAATAAGACTGACCTTGAGTTGCTCTCCAAATCATAGTTCCTCAGATATCTAGAACCAATTTGGCAGTTTCGAAATAGCATATTGATTTTGACAATAGATAAAATTGAAAAATAAAAGTTGGTGCACACAGGCAGCTGAGCATCTGTCCCCTTAGGACAGATCATTTTAGAATTAGATCTTCCTTTATCTTATACTGTGAATAATGAAAGAAAGCCATCATCTAAATTCACTTATATTTTCATATAAAATATTAATAGGAAAACAAAATTATATAGATAAATGATAACTAACTTTGGTTAACTTTCAAAATAATTTTCTCGAACGCACCACACATGTATTCAAATAGAATCATGATGCCTATTTCTACAAATACCCATGGCAAAAATATACCGGTAATCATGCTCAAATGATACAATAATTATAACTTTTCATCATATAATGCATTAGTTTTTGAAACTCTCTGAAATATACTTTTTGACACTGCAA